AAATGGAAATCAAGTAGTTCTTAGTTCCTGGAACAGATTTACTGTCCTCCACTTGGAAGTGATAGCAGTGGTCACTGGTCATGATTGTGGTGATTCCTCTGAATATGAGTGTGTTTGGTAGAACATTAACCCAACTAACTTTAGGAAATAAGATTTTAAACTAGTTTTGTAGTCAATGGAATTTTTCTGTGTGGTGAGGATCTTCAGAAGAGGAGTTTGGGGACTGACACCAAGGAGCATTCCATGGGTGGTCCTGCATGAGGCGGCACTGCCTTCCCTGGGGATGTTTCTGAGTGCATCACACTCAGGAGGGGTTTTGTAGGGGGAGACTTCGGGTGCTTCTTTGAAATTTAATGTTGTAAATGATCTTCTAGAGGAAAAATTAATAGGAGCTGCTCTTGGCAGTAGGGTGCTGCAAGGAACTGGCCTAGAGAGGTTGTCCTCTTATCCTAGAGGAAGTAATTGTTAATTTATGTGGGCTTCCTGTCCCTAAATAGATTAGGATTAAGCAGGAGAGAGATGAAATATTTAAACAGTGTTTTAATAAAAAATAATTTATCTGTAAGCTACTCACTTTCAGGTTCTTCAGCTAAAGCTGTGAGTCAAAACTATCTTGGTATTAAAATAAGTAATAATTATTTTATGCTGAGACATATATTTATATATATACATATATATGACTATATATGCAATAGGACATTTTTCCCATTAAATTTGCACCCCAGGATGCATAGAAGAAACAGTGAGTCCCTTGGACATGATTTTAAGGGCCTCATGTTGTATATACTGCATTTTTTCCAAAAGAGGCTTCCCAGATGAGAAGTGAATTAAGTTTTGCTGTCTGTGGAGAGTGGGTTTCATTTCCATGAAGTCTTTGCCTTTTGTCTTTTTGGACATACTTGAAGTAATTGAATTCACTGTACGTAATTGTGACTGCCTAATTAAGACAGTTTGTACATTTGTTTGGTAGAAACTTTCTCTATAATTAGTGAGAAGATATTTTCCAAGAGGATGGCAATGACTTGCAGGGACTGTAGGAGATGAATCCTGTCTTGGCAATACCTTGAAGAGCCTAAAAATAGGTGGAGTGAATTCAGTTTTTGAATAATTAATAGTATTTCCTTCGTCACCAGGAATAAATTCTCTGCTTTTCTATAAATAAAGGAGAGTTTCTCAAAGAGCAGTGGTTTTATGAGCAATATTTATTGATGTCTGGGTGAATAAATGCCTTCAAACTTCAGATATATTGACTGGGCATAAATCAGCAGCAGAATTAGGTTAGGAAGAGCTGGTGGTGAGGCTCTGTGATCTAAACTATTCTAGTATCAGGTCCTGATTTAGGAGTCAGGCATCATCTCTTTTCCTTTGCTGTATGACTCATATTTATGAACTTAATCATCTGCTAGCTGGAAATCTGGAAGAAAGCTTATAAAGTACAGTTTTGAGAGAATAAGAACTTTAATTTGTTCATAAACATAAAGATTGCTTGAAAGCATAGAGACAGAGTTGGAAGCAGTGGCATCTTTGAGAGGAATTATAACTGGGTAAGGAAACAGTGATTCTCCAATTCCACTACTTATGTAAAAAACAACAACAACAACAAAGTTAAAGCAATTTAACATTTACCATGTTATTCTCATTCTGGAGTGCAGAGGGTAGGAAAATCTGATTTATAACTAATTTAAACTCTCCTGTGCAATGCTGATTCCAGATTACGAAGGAACTTTTTGGTGGAGTTATTTTTCTATAACTCAAGGCTCAGACTGAAATTTTGGTAAGATTTGGTGCCCTTTCATAGTTCATACAGAGCAACTTTAGCTTTCACTTTGAATTTTCTTGCATTTTTGTTCTTGTATGATCTATAAAATACACATTTGAAAAATAAAAGACAAATATTTCCTGACTCATCTGAAAGATGAAGAACAACAGTTGTATTGAGCTTCATTTAATGTCAACACCTTCACATCAATTTTGAATATGGTGTGCTAGATCAGAAAAGTGCAAACATTTATATAGGAATTATTTGTAACTTTTTGGATTGAGAGAAGCAATAGGAGACCTATTGCTTGTCTCCTTTTATTATTTCATTTTTGTTTTTGTAGACAATAACACTGGTTCTGATAGCTTTTCTTTTTAGTTTTTATAAGGCCATTGCCTGTACTTCTGAATATCTTCTGTTTTTCAATTTCTGTCCCCTATCCAAATAAATTAGTTACTTTCTCATCATCTCCTTTTTCCAAACCAACTGCAAGGAATGAAACATTATTTGGTGGCTGAAAAGATGCTTCTCTGTGGTGTAAACTACCCAAGCCAAACTGATAGCCTTGAAGGCAAATAAAGCAGTGACATGGAATTGTTTGGATTCTTGCCATTCCTCCTGGCCATTCTGCCTTCAAATCTAAAGGAAATAAATGAATGTCCTTATTCCTACCCTTACATTTCATATGTTCTGTGCCTCTTCTCCTTTTGTCATTTCTGCATTACAGACTTCATGAGGACAGTTGGTTCAGATGCCTTATGGAGATTATTTCAGTGACATTTCAGTTCATCTCTAGGGTCCTCTGGGAAGTTCTTCACTTGAAAAAAAACCCTCACTGCCCCAAGCCTGGTTTCATTCCGTAACATTGGCATTCCTCTTATATTCTGGTCTCACTCCAGGGAATAAGAGTTCAGCATCTGCAGAACAGCTGTAACCTTAGGGGATTTTTTTGGTTTCTTTTTTGTTTAAAGTTGCTAAGTTCAAATAGTCTAAGTAACTTTTTAAAAAATCACAGGCTGGTTTGGGCTGGAACAAACCTTAAAGATCATCTCGTTGCAGCCCCTCTGCCATGGGCAGGGACACCTTTCACCTGATCAGGTTGCTCCAAGCCCTGTCCAACCTGCCCTGGGACACATCCAGGGATGGAGCATCCACAGCTTCTCCGGGCAACCTGTTCAACTTAATTTAAGTTAAATTAATTAAATTGAAAAAGTATCACTACATCTTCTAAAAGCTCAAAGTTTACAACTATGTCAATCTAAGATGGTTCTTTACATTTTTGCCAGATTCTTCGGATTTCATAATAAATATACAATAAAGAATGACATCTGCAACTATTCTTCTAATTAAATTTTCATTTTTGATTGACTTTTATTTTAGTTTAAACTGTCTAAAGAAATAAGAGTCTATTTTTCCTTGGTGTGATGTGTGGAAAGTAAACTTTCATACCTCTCTGGATGTACTTAGAAGACACTGTTAGAACAACAGGATATAGTACTGAAAATAACATAGATAAATTAATGAAATATCTCAGTTGACATTTAAATTTCTTCCTCATAAAATAAGTTTATAATTATAGTGCAAGGACCTTCTTGCCGTGGAGTACTTTTGCAGGAGGGAGAACAGGAGGATTGTTCATGGACTTGGGAGAGCAAAGTTGTTCTGAACTGTCACTTCAGCCATGAGGTGTTTTCCAAGTCCAGCGTATCTGTTACTTTTTAAACTTTTCTTTAGCTGAAATGTACTAAAAAAATCAAACAAAATAGTAGTATTAGTGCCTTTGTCACACAGATTTATGCCCCAGTTGCCTTTTCAGCTGTACCTAGGTGTCTGTTGAATATATTCAATAGGCTCTGTCTGTTCATTTGGGAAGAACATCACCATTTATTTTAACATGTAAAAAAAGAGTAGGAGGAGAAACTCTGTCAGCTTTTGCCTGAAGTGATGGTGCTTTTTCACTCATCATCCCTTTAAAAGAAGGGGCGGGGAGCAAGGGGAGGTTTGTGAGGTCTGGGGGGTTTGAGGGGGTTCTAGGTCCCCAATACCTTTGGGCTGTGTGTGGAGAGGGTCCCAGCAGAGGAGACAGAGGCTCAGAGTAGGATTTTGGAAAAGTTACCTTTAATATTCTCAGAGCCAAAATGTGAGGGATTCCATGGGAAGCATCCATAGAGTTGTGGGATTAATTCAAGAACATCTTCCTGGAAGCACAGGAACAATCCATCCCCTGCTGAGGGAAAGGGAAAAGGCAGAACAAGAGACCGCCCTGGCTTAACAATGACCTTTTGGGTGTACTGGAAGAGCAAAAAAGCAGCATATCAGCTATGGAGAGGCAGCCAAATACTCACTGTAGTCTGCAGAAACCTTGCTTTGGCAGTTTTCAGGGCATGTGACTCTAGCTGTGTACCCAAAATATGTGATAAATTGCTTTTTTCAAGTATATCCTTGTCTTGGTTTGGAAAGACAGGTGTCTGCTGAGGAAGGCAGGAGCCTCCCCTGAATTGGAAAATGTAACTCCCCTCCCTTGGAATTCCTATAAATTTTAAATTAAGGGGTTCTCAGGCAAAAAATATCGGAGCAGGAAATAACAGTTCTTTACTAGGGAAGAAAATAAAAAGATAAAGTGAACAATGCAGTAAACTAAAACAACACTGACAGAGTCAGCACACAAGCTGACACCCTGTGGGTCAGGGTGTTGGTAGCAGTCCCGTTGGAATTGTGGCTGCAGCCCTCCTGCAGTGTCAGGTGTGCTTCTGTTGGAGCAGGGATCCTGTAGAAAGGTGTCTTCCTCTGAAGATCCAGTGGAAGAAGAGGCAGTGGGAAATCCAGTGGAGAAAAGCTGTGTTGGTGTTTCAAAAGCTCAAGATTATATCCGGGTAGGAATGCTTGGCTCCTCCCCTGGGCAGAGCATCTCCCAATGGGATGCTGTAGTTCTTGTCAGTCATGCAGTGACATTCAAGGGAGGAGTGGTTGTGGAAGAGATAAGGAAAACTGCCCACTTAACAGAAGACAACTGCCCTACAGATGGCAAATGGAATACAATTTGCTTGGCAATCCAGGACAATCCTCAAATTGTTACTCCTTTTGCATATTACATTAGTTCGCATTCATATTTGCTTAGAAGCAGAGAGTAAATCCATGTTGATCTGCTATTAAGGAGGGAAGGAATTGACTTTAGGTGTTTGTTAACCCACACCAGCATTCCCTGGCAGTCCCTGAAGTGCACCTCTCGTTTTGCAGACACTACAAGAAGCGCTGCCAGGGCCGGATGCGGAAGCATGTGGGCGATCTGTGTCTGCAGGCTGGCATGCTGCAGGATTCCCTGGTGCACTATCACATGGCAGTGGAGCTGCTGCGCTCCGTCAACGACTTCCTGTGGCTTGGAGGTAGGATTAGGTGGTGCTAGTTGTAATCCCAAATAAATCAAGCTATCCTTTATAATTTGTTGTGAAAAGTGGTAATCATTTTAGTCACCAAAATCTGGATATCATGTGTGAATAAGAATGAAATTGAAACAAAAGTAAGTCAATAAGACATGAGAAAGGAATGTGTTTAGGAAAACCTAAACAGGATAAATTGTGTTACTGTAGTAAAGCATGTACTTAAAAAAAGTTGTGTCTGATTTTTCATGATTCCTTGGAAAGTATTTGATTTTTATTCACTGGATTGTGTCGGTGTTTTAAAAATAATTCCAATGGATGTCCACTGTGGACTGTTAGGAAAAAAATTTTGCCTTTACATCTCCTAAAGCTGCAAGTATTAAACTTCCACTGGCATAATTTCCTTTCATATTAGGTTCTAGGATTTGCTTTTTTTATCCTGCCTTTCCCCCATCCTTTCTTTTTTTTTTTTTCTTCTTTTTAATGCCTGTTTTTTGTTATTTATTGGTCATACAAATGATCTTTGAGCACAATTTCTGCTTCTCAGTTTCATACCCTTCCAGGACAATCACTGTCTGCAGTTCTGCTTTTATCTTTCTCATTCCACATGGAAACCATTTATTTTCCTAATGGCCCTGTAGATTACAAACCATGAAAACCTTAACACCTTTTGACCTCCCACTTCTTTCCTTCTGCAATTCCAAAAGCTTAAATGGCTCAGGATTCCTCAAATTCTACTTAGAGACCTCCAGAGGACTCTTCCAATCCAAATAGTTTGATAAGTCTGTGAGTCTGATCTGCTTCTATCATGTCCAGTTACATCAGGTTGTTCAGGGACCTGTCCAGCTGAATTTCAGGTATATTTAATGATGGAAGTTTTACAGTCTTTGAGCAACCTGTTCTGACATTTTGCTGATTATAATTTGAAAAAAACCCAACAACAAAACATAAATTGGTCTTAGCTTAAAGCAGAATTTCTTGTGTGCACTTGTGTTGACTCTCATCTGGTCACTGCACCTCTGAGAAGCTCCTGCCTCCATCTCTTCCCTGCCTTTCCCACTGGGTGTTTTAAAGGCAGCAGGGGCACCAGCCTTCAGCCTCTTGCTCTGTAAGGCTGAGCAAACCCAGTTCTCTCAGCTTCTCACATGCCAGGAGCTCCAGTCTCACAACCCTTCTGATGCCTCCCACCATCCTTGCTTTGGGATGAGGCTCCTGCAAGCCCTTGTCTCCAGCCTGGCAAGTTCTCTGTGTACTGAAGGCCTGCCCTGCTGTTCCCCCCAGTTTGGTGTCACCCAGGAAGTTTCTGGGTGTGCTCTGTGCAATCATCCCTGCAGTTAATGAAGGCATGAGTATTGTCCCCCTGAGGACACCACTGGTCACAAGCAGCCATTTGGCTGATCACAAGCCTTTGAGTCTGGCTGTCCAGCTGATTTTCCACCTGCTTTATAGTTCAGCTATCCATATCTTCTCCATTTGGCTGCAAGCATTCTGTGGGAGACCATGTCCAAAGATGTTTTGAAAGCCAAAATACACAACATCCACTGCTGTTTCTTTGTCCACTGAGCTTAGCATCTCCTCAGAGGGGGCAGTGAGGTTTCCAAAGGCTGATTTATCCTCAGTAAATCGATGCGAGCTGTTCACAGACACCTTCTTTCACTTTATGTGCTTCCAGCAGGAATGTCCACTGAGCTTAGCATCTCCTCAGAGGGGGCAGTGAGGTTGCCAAAGGCTGATTTATCCTCAATAAATTGATGTGAGCTGTTCACAGACACCTTTCACTTTATGTGCTTCCAGCAGAGGCTTCTGTGTAGCCTCTCCAGGCAGCTGATGTTGATCTATCTGTGCTGGTAGTTCCTTCTCAAAGATGACATTTCCCTTTTCCCAGCCACTAGAAACCTCCCCCAATGAGCATGAACCTGTTGGAGGTGATGAGAGAGTGGTCTGACCTTGGTCAGCTCTCTTGGCCTTTTACCTGGTTGTGTGGAATTGCATCCAGTTGGATTAAGTGCTTTTCATGTGGGCTTCCTCTACTGTAACAAGTTCTTACTCCTGCAGATTCTTTCAGTGGGTTGGGGCAATGGGGATCTGAGGGTGAACACAGATGTGAAAAGCACATTGAATATCTCAGAATTTTCCATGGGCTTTGTCATTAGACATCTAATTTCAGGCACATTTTTGTTTGTGTAAATGGACTTCACCACAGGATACTTCACTTCCTGCAAATGTCTCTACTAATGTGTTGGCTTTTTTTTCTTTTCTCTGCAGCTGCCCTTGAGGGGCTGTGCTCAGCATCTGTCATCTATCACTACCCAGGTGGCACTGGGGGTAAAGTTGGGTCTCGCAGGGCTCAAGGAGGTTCTCTTTCTGCTGAGGCAGGCAACAGGCACAGGCCAGGTAAGGATGGCATTTCTGTTTTATTCTGTTTGCCACCACTGAACATCTGAAAACTTCTCCCTACATCCTAACTTTGTAAAATTATACACATGACAGCATTAATCAGAGGAGGGAGGTTTGGGGAAGAATTTGGGGTTTTTAAAATTTTATTTTAGATTTTTGTAATTATTTTTCTGTTTTGGTGTTAATGTCAATACATATGCTTTGCATAGAACTGCAAAGCTTTTGATTTCTTCACCTGATTGTTAGTAGTGTCTGTGTTAGTTTGAATTTTGCTGGAGGAGATGCAGGCAGTTTTCACAAAATATCATCTGCCAGATCTGCATGCATTAAAAAGAATTAAGTTTGGTACATTCTATTCAGAGTTTTTTTTTTCTATTCTAAAGTCAATGAGTAACAAATAGATTTTTTTTAAATGAAATGCCAATAAACCAACATAATTTTTAAGGTTTAGTATGCTTTTTCTACTCTTGGACTGCAAAAGAGATGGCTGAGGAGAAATACGAGAGCAATCTGTAACACAGTGAACATTGTAGAAAAAGATGGGTAGGGTCAAAAGTTCAGTGTTTCTTTCAAGAGGAACTGGAGGACATCAAACAGAGCTTAGCAGATGGAGAAGCAGATGAAAAGAGTTACTCTTTGTCCAGCCTACAGGTATGACATGGAACTCCTTGTCATTCAGAGGTACCAGATCTGGTGGTGTGTGTGAGAGAGGCAAGGCTGCTGCAGCTCCATGGCCCCAGGTCCAGGCAGACAGGAGGCTGAGCAGGAATTCCCAGGAGGCCTGGAGAACACACAGGGACACACACAGCCTCAGTCTGTTCAGGAGCTGGCCACTGCACTGCACCAGTTGCTGGCACCTCAACCCACAAGGCTGAGAGCCAGAGCCCACTGCATGCACTGCCCTCTGCTTTTCCATGCTTGTTCCCTAAACTGCCTCAGTCCCTCCTTCTCCTTGTCTTTGGCTCATCCCCTACACCCCAGAAGGAATCTTGTACAATCCTAGGATGTTCTTTCCCTACAGTGAGCCCCATATCCCTGCAGGGAGTGACCCCCCAGTCAGTCTGTAAGGGCATCGAGAGAGCTGCTGGTGTAACTGAGCTGGGCTTCACCCCCCACAGCTCTGTTGGCTCTGATTTGGATGTTGGGGTTCAGCTGATGGTCACTGATCCTCTCCACTCCTTTGTGGTTGTGCAGATGAGCCTGTCACATAACCTGACACTTGTCACATGGTGTTACAGCTCCTGAAAGGTTCTATGGCTTTCAGGAGAGGCTGGGCTGGGGTAGGAAGATGGAAATACATTGACTAATGTGAGCTACACAGGCCTTTGGGCTAGCCCAGCCCAGTACAGCTGCTGCTGTGTATGCATTCACTCAGGACTGAAACATAGCTGGATTTGATGGCTGGTGTTAAGTTCTCTTGCGTGCAATGTGGTCAAAATGAATTCCTTCATCTAAAAGAAGCAACCACCCATCTTTATTCTTTTATAAGTTACAATCTAGTAAACACTTGCTTTGTATTACCTTTATTATGAACTGTGTGTATTGAAATCAGATAATTGTGATAGTAAAATTACCTTATTTCAGGACAGAATACTAATTTTAATACAATATCTAGTCATTAAAATCTGTTCATTTGGTCCCATGACATATGAATCCATTTTACGCTGGCTGTTACCATTTCACCTGGGTAGTGACCTTTATCTACTTTTCAATGAATATATATCAGGAGATGTTGCAATCTGTTTGTTTGTCATGGGCACTCCTGGATACTAAAGAAAATAACAAATAAGTCACAGCTATCAGAATAATTCAATCTATTTTGGGTGTTTTGTTGCTGGGTTTCTGTTTAAGTTTTGTATTTCAAAGTCCAGTTTGCAAACTTGTTAGTGTAGTTTATTTAAAAAATGTTTTAGTTTCATATGACAAGATTTTTCAAAGAACTTTTCTGTGAAGAAAAACTGATTACAGGTTTTTTTGTCATCCTTTGCAGATGAAAATTTTACTTTGTGGCCCATTAGATACTGTTCCCTAACTCTAGTTATGATCTCTGTGTTTGGAGGCGTGAACTGCTGAGCTCCCTCTGGCCAAACAGGTGTTGCTACAAAGTTTTCTGAAAGTTTCTTTTTATTACCTGTTCCGGACTCTGCAGTGCCTTTCATTTGAAATCATTTCAAACTGCACCTTTGGTTATAGTCTCTTTCACTGTAATTGATTTTGTGAGGACAGCACTCAATCTGGGGAAAAATTCCACTGTATCTTTCTGTGGGATAAAGCCAGAAAAAAAGGGGTTTCCAAATTCTGCACAAATCAAGAAATGCCACACTTGGAACTGAAATTTTTGCCTGATTTTGAGGCATGTAGATGTGAGAGTTACCTTTAGTGCTTCCTCTTGTACCTGGAATTGCACCTCTTTTTATGCCTGTACTTCAATCTTCACAGGATGAAGTTTCCTGCCCAGATCCAGCCAATAGAAACACTTTCCTCTAGAATCTCTTGTGATTTCCATCCCTTGGCATTTTTAGGCTACAGCACAAGACCTGGCTTCTCAGCAGATGGGGTGTCTGCTTTATGTAGAAACAGCTTGGGAAAGAAAGCTCCAAAATACAACTGAGCTTCTGCTCTGTACTGTGGCTGCCCATCCCAAGTAGGGATGTCAGGGTCAGGTTGGATGGGTTTTGAGCCATCTGCTCTAGTGGAAGGTGACCCTGCCCATGGACAGGGATTTGGAACTTGATGGTCTTTAAGGTCCTTTTCCAAACTTATCTGTGAAAAAGGTGTTTTGTCTTCTCAGGTATCTAAACCCTTTTGTTTGTATGGAGACAGGTTTAGGCTGTGTCCCCTGGAATTTCTGGATGTGTCTCTGCAGCCTTCAGTGTAAAGGAAGATTCTGAGTTGCTCAGTTCCTCCTGGCCAGGAAATCTGGATGTGGTCTGTCAGTTGTGGGATTTGTATGTCAACCAAGATGAGTCTGGATTGCTTTATGCTTAGGTCACTGGCTGTTCTGGATTTCTCCACTGGATTTTATTTGTTGGGAGTTCTAAGATCTTGATTTTGTTGCCTGACCTTCCTCTTTCCCCGGGCAGAATTATGATACCTGAGTGAAGTGTTGGTGTATATTTGGGTCTAGATCTAAATCTCTGCTTCACTTGTCTGGAATCTGAGCAAATCAACTGAAGGGAGGGTCTGTCTTGCTGATAAAATAATTGTTTTTGACTGCTTAACCCTTGATATGAACAATTTTATTGTCATGTTTAACCAAAGTTTAGGGCAACAAGATGTTCCACACCTGGTAATCCAATTCTGCAGTACTCTTGGCAGCTCTTACATGGACAGTCTGGCTTATTAAGTTGACATGACTCAATTATTCAAAAAATTAGATAGAGAGAAATTAATGACAATTAAAAGGGATAAAATTACTTGGAAAGTTCATTCCAGAGTATTGTACAGATTAAATGAGCTCCCACAAGAAGATTTAAGTACTGCAGGTCCTGGCACTAATACTAAGTGGACTGTAATGGAAACTTGCTAACCAAAACAATAAAGATAAAGAAAAAAAGATATGGCTTTAAATTATACACTGAAAATTCTGAAATTCATCATAGTTTGTCTTAGAACTTATTGCAAATTTATAGACTTTTACATTTATTTATTAACAAAATGAGATTTAACTTATGGGGACTACTTGAATTATAATTGGTAGTCCTTCACAACAGCAGTGATAATCCTGATGAATCTGATGATTTTGTTCAAGCCTGATGTTATAAAACATTATAAGAATTTTTTTTGCTGGCTCTATTTAAGGCTGAAAAAAATCATTTTTGTTCCTCCTTTTAGGGGCACAAGAAGTTCTCATTGATCCAGGTACATTATTTTCCTGCATGTTTCCAAAGTATTTTCTTGTATTACTTGATGTGTTTTGCAATTGTATAGATAGTTATTGCCACTTGCCAAAACTAGTAGTGATCCCTGATGCTTCAGTTTTTGGCTATAAATCTTGAGGAATTATAGAGACTGAAGGGTAACTGGCACAAAATAAATGCTGTAGTTCTGTGATTGTGTCTCCATGAATTCTGATCAATGGGATTTCTTTCCATGAGTAGTGAGGTGTCATGGTGCTTCCTCAGTCATCATGAACAAACATCTTTTACTTCCATAAAAATACTCTCAATCTCCAGATGTGCTTGGTCTGATTCCTTGAGGTTAATAAGCATATTAAAAAAGTTGCCTTAGTATTTAAGTATGTAAAGAAACATTCTTTCTGCTTCCTGAGTAAATTCAGAAATACCTTTCACAGCAGTTTTTAACTGTCTATTGACAGTTAGGGCCAGCTCTGAAACACAGAGATTTTTTTGCCATTTTTGCAGAGAAACCTCTTGGAGAAATCCATTAGTGTATAATCCTAAATAAATTACAGTATAATGCTACAGATTAAGTAATATGTAAGAAGGTATTGAGCCTTGCCAAACCTTTGATATGTTTCAATTTTTATGTTAACTCAAAATCAAATTCTAAAAATAAAATTTCCACATTCTTTCTAACATCCCAGATTTCCTTGGCATCTATTTCAAATTCTTATCCCTTATATAGACCTTATATTTCTCTTTTCTTCTTTCTTATATAACAAAACCATTTTCTTACTGTTTAGTCTGAGCCTTTTTTTTCCCTAAGGTGTGCATTAGAAACACAGTTTTAAAGTAGAAGAAGGAGTAGTCCAAAGATTAAAACTGTCTATTCAGATGTGGCCATAATATAATTTTAGCAATCTATATTTTATTCATACTCTAAACATTCAGATAAGTGCTAAAAATCATGAATACATGTGTTTTTTACTAAATGAAAGATTATTTTCTTTCTTTCTAGGCAGGGCAAGTGTACTTTGTGTATTCTGTGTCAAACCTACAGCATACCCTAGCTTACTTTTAAGATATTTAGCATTTGCCAAGAGTGTTTCTGCTCATTTCTGACCCTGTTCTGTTCTAGGTGCTCTGACTTCCAACGGGATCAATGCTGATACCAGTGCTGAGATAGGACGTGCCAAGAACTGCCTGAGTCCTGAAGACATCATAGAAAAATATAAAGAAGCCATTTCTTACTATGGCAAGGTAATCCAGGTTATTTTTAAATGAATACCTTAAGGTGTTCACCTTTTAAACAGTGAACTGCTGAGGCTTTGGTTTTGGGGTTCTTTTAAAGCATGGCAGTGAGGTTTGTAAATAGGTTCCAGCTCTACTGGACCAGTTTTTAGGTTTTTGTGCAAATGTTCAGAGCCTGAGATGGAAAAGGAGCTTAATGTCTGCAATCATAATAAGAAAAGAAAAAGAATTGTTTTTTAGTGTGAAAATAGTGGCTTAGTGTCCACATCAACACTAAAGATAAGCTTAATTGTATTGCAGTGGAGTTATTTAATCACTTTTTAATTTCAGATGTTTCTCTTGTTTGATAAAGTATCTTTAGACTAAGCTTATAAATAATTATTACAGGCATTTTCATGTCCATGTTGAAGGGAGACTCTCCAAGTGAAACAAGTTGTGTGCATGAGTTAATTTATGACCAGGAGCAATGGAAGGTGATAGTTCTGGGCACAGTGTCAGATAAATTAGAATCCATCAGTAAAACAATAACTGTCAAGGATGCATTCAGCTTTTTAATGTTACCTTAAGGGTACATTGCTCATCTAGAAAGGGTCTGATGTCTCTAGGAGTATAAAATTATTGGACTTAGTTGGGCTTAAGGCAGGATATTTATATTTTGATTATTTATAATATGCACTGTGCTCTCAGCAAGTAATAACTGTGTTTCACTGGAGCTTCACTTGAAATAACAAATAAATTTGTGTCAGGACTGATTTATAACCCTTCAAGACAAGCACAGTTACCTCCTGTCTGTTCCAGACCTACAGAGTAACTCCTTGCTCTAATGCTGAGGAAGCAGCACTTTTCTGGATAGTTTTTATGTTCTCACTCAGCTGAAAAAACTTTTGTAGCACTTTCTAAAATAGATTCAATCTCCACTGATTTGCTTTTGCTAATAAAAATGCATGAGAGAGGAATATGTGACAGCTTTGCTGGTGTAACTCTTATATTTTGTTATTGAGCTTTCTATCCCCCATTAGTTTTCAAATATAAATACCTGAAGAGAGCTTAACTTCAGCAGGAGATGGGCCACATCAAATACCCAGTATCAGTGTTTGAGGATATCACCAGACTAGATTGTGTGGCTAGAAAATTGCCTGTTATCTGAGCACAAACAGTTCAATGCACATCTGCATTGTCTCCTTAGCTTCCTTAAGCAAGCTAAATCACTAAACAGTCATTTACAGCAAATGTTTTGCAAACAAATACTGGAACAGTCAGATTGCTTTCTAATTGTCTCATCAGGAATATTGTTTTAACTAAAGAGAAAATGGATGCAGCAATAAAAATATTTGCATTGTAAAGGCAGAATTTATTTGCAGGCACAGCACCCACAACCAACCATTTATGTGAGGTTACCCCAAATGGTTCTAATATTCCCAGCTTTTCTCCTCCCCTGAACTCTCAGACTGAAGCTGTGCTCTGTCTCAAAATGAGAGCAGTGAGTGAAGAGGCTGAAAACAGCTGTTTTGCACAATAATATTTTAGATGACACCTTAATTTTCACTTGGACATATGTTAATAATTTAACAGTGTAGTCATTAGCATTAAGGAATTGCTGGGTTTGGAGGACTTGACAGCTGATTTATGTGCTGAGCAGAAATGCTTATAAAATCTAACAGGTGCAGTACTTTCAATATTATTTTCATTTTCTCCCTCTCCAAGTACAAGAACGCTGGGGTGATTGAACTGGAAGCTTGTGTGAAGGCTGTGAGAGTCCTGGCAATGCAGAAGAGGAGCATGGAAGCCTCTGAGTTCCTGCAAAATGCAGTTTATATCAACCTTCGGCAGGTCAGTTGGAAAGTCCAGGTTTTTTTCTCTTGTCATTTCACAGAATGTACTGAAAGTTATTTAGATTCAGGAGACTCCAGTTTATTTTCTGTACCACTGCCTTCCTTCTGACAAGAGCTTGACTTCTGAGGATTTTCACATCTGTGAGTCTGGGTTACAAGGTATTGAGAGTTCATCTAAAAACACGAGGACTTAGTTTGAGATTAAGCTCTGTTGCTTCTTCTCCCTTGTGAAAGTAAAAAAAAAATCCCATTGTTGTTCTTCTATGATGCTGTACTAGGGAAAAACAGCTGCCTGGGACTGCTCTGCAGTGGATTTTTAAAATTTTCTTGATTGCATCTCATTCAATGAAACTGGGCAAATCAGGAATGGCCTGTTGCAGAGTGAGCTGAAGGGTCTGATTAGTGTTCTTAATCAACTGAATTTTTTGTTGTGTAGTGCAAAGTCTTAATTAAGCTAAATCAGAAAGGAATTCAGGGGGGAAATCAGTGTTTGCAACTGTGTGGAAAGTGCTCAGTATCACCACAAAACAACATTAACACTTGAGCAGTGTCTCAAGCTTGGTGTCACTGCTCACAGAGAGATTGCTGTGGTTGACAGGATTAATAAAAAGCTGTTAGGTTTCATAATGGTTTTTGATTTTTGCTCATTACATCTTGGTAAGATGAGCAGTTTAAGTCCACACCATTGACCTTATTAGGCCCAGACAGGGGCAGCAGATTTATGAGAGAGATAAAATGCTTTCTTTCGTTTGCTAAGAACCCTTTCTTTGGAATAAATTTTCTAACAAAGCATTAATGAGACAATAATTAATTGATAAGCTGTCATAAAAATCATCAGTCTTGTTAGAGAGTGTCTTAATTGCCATAATACTTGTAATGCTAAAGGCCTTCTCTTTAATTCTGTAACCTGTTCTTTTGCTGGCAGTTCTTTGTTGTTCACCCATCCTCTTGTTCTGCTGCTGTTTTTCTTGTTGCCTGCAAACTCCAACATTGTTGTTTCTTTTTCTGGAAGCAATTAGTGCCATTAAAATACCTGTTCTCCCTGACACCACTGATACTGCAACTTCCACGTCTTATCAGAGGAAACCTGTAAGACCCAGCATCTTGGTTTGAAGGACAGGTGTCTGACAAGGAGGGCAGGAACCTCCCTTGGAATAGAAAATGTGACCCCCTTCTCTCCAAATAACTCTGAAAATCTGGGCCTTTCAGGCAAAGACCTGGGAAAAGGAATCACAGTTCTTTACTGGTCTGTGTGCCCTCACCCCCTGGCCAAAATCTCTCGGTGTCCTTGCCCTTCCCAAAGAGAAATCCCCCAGGTGAGATAGAAGTCAGCTGCACCCTTCCCCACCTTGGCCACTTTTTTTGGACACTCTTAAGTACTGGTTGTTATTGTCTCTTAACAACAGATGGGACAAAATTCCATGAGAGAAGGAACCAAAAGGAAAAATCCTAATCCCAACACCCAGTGAATGGCAAAGTACTTGCCACTTCAATAGTTGATATTTATTGCCTAATAATACACAAACACAAAGCTTGGCAACATGAAAAACACACCCTGATCTGAGCTGCCTGCAACCAGTCCAGCCCAAACCAGCACAGACTGGGATCTCTGAATGGCTGGGGAGCAGAGATTGTGTTGGCATTACTGTCTGAAATAACTGTAGGATAATCTTTCCAGAGCTTTCCCCAGGGTTGGGAAATGCATTTTCCATAAAGAGAGGTATGGCTGGGGATTGTATTTACAGCTTTTAAGATTTAATGGATGAAGCATGGAAAGAAATAGAATTATATTTATAATTTAGACTAACTCACGAGGAGGAGTCATCCTGGAATAGCTGAGGGAATAAACTGTAGGACAGTGCTTTTCATTTGTAGGTAAATAGAACATCAGCACAACAAATATTCTGCAGCAGAAAAAACACCTCACAGGTTGAAGTGTAAGACTTATAAACAGGAAAACTAGTTCCTATGCATAAATTTAATTTCATACTCAGTCTAGTAATATAATGTAATTGGTATTTTCTGATGAGCTGCAGGGTAATAAGACTTAACTTTGCATCCAGTTATGAGGAATAAATTGTAAAATATAATTACACAGAAAGTGAGATTATAAAATTTTAATGTTGTAAGGAATAATTAAAAAACAAATAAAAAGCTGCATTCTTCGAAAGCCTGACTTGAAACAAACCCGAGAAAAAAACTGGCTCTGTTATCTGGAGAGTGACCTACAGCCTTTCCAGGTGCAGTTATAGCTTTGTCTGGTGGAGCAGTCAAATAAAAATTACCCAGGTGGAAATAATGCTGTGCTTCAGGTGGTGGCTGTTTTGCAGCCACTTTACAGGCATTACACTTTTATAAATTTATGAGGTCAGGAAAGATGTTTGTAGGTGCTACACCAATGGCCTGCAGAATGCCTGCTGCAATCTTCCCAGAATTAATTACTTGGAGTATCTCTGTGGGTTTTTTCTCATTTTTTCTTCTTTTAAATTTCTGGATGGTAACACATAACTGTTTGTGCTCAGGAAAATGCAATTTTGCTGTCTTTGTGGTTATGAAGAAAAGGTTTCCTGCAGCTGAGGAAAATACTTAATTAACTTTGGGGACAACCATTAAGCAACAAGTTATGTAACAGTGGTAAAAACTTAGACATGATGAAAATAAAACTTTCTGGGAATCTGCTACCTGTCTCATAGCAATTCAAATTATTAGTGAGTGCTCCAGTCCACCTAAATAGCATTGCCCTGTTTTTTATCATCTTAAAGAATTTAGTGAACATTGTCAAAATTGGTATTTAAGGAATAGCTTTTGATATGGTTTTTTAAAGCTTTTTTTGCTTTATTTCCTGATCATGTGCTTTTAACCCTTTTCAACTTTGCTGCCATGTTTTTTTATTGTTCTAACCTGTAAAAATGGCGTAAACAGGTGACTTCAGTATGATAGCTTGTGTTCTTTCTGAGTGATTGCTTTTAGGAACTATGATGACTTCTCCAAATTTTTTCTGTATTTTCCTTTTGTGGTTTTTGTTTTTTTTTCCAGCTGCACTAGTTTCTGAAAGTTTTTACCCTGGTGCAATGACCTTTTCTCACAACTCATGATACAGGGCTTGGTCTTAGGGATGGGTGGTACTTTTGTGTCAGGCACTGTCTTCTGTTGTCAGTTCTGAAAAAATATGAAATTCAGCTTCAAAAATTGTCTGAAACTCTAAAATGCTGTGCTACTCTCTGTGTTTCTTCATATCCTGCAGTATGAAAATTTGAACTGTCAGATAAGGTCGTGGTGCTCTCTGATAACTCCTCTTTGATGTGTCTCATATCCCTATGTCCAAAATTAGAAGTGACTTTTGAGAACAGACTGCTTTTTGTAATTATATCAGGATTTGAGTGGCTAAAAGACATTTTGAAGCTCTTCTTACAAGACCTAATCCTTTCTGTAGAAAAACCAGCCAGTGTGGTGAGCAGCTTCCCTTTGACCGTCCAAGCCTTTAAGTGCCTGAAGTTAAGGAGACTGATTGATACTTCCAGTTTTGAAGAATGAGTTGCTGTTTCTTTCCTTTAGGGCTATTTTTGGGTGAAGTTTGTCACTTGAAACGCCTTTGCAAAATGTGTTGGCAGCTCTAGAGTAATTTAAAGTACGTTTTATTGCTTTTGACTGTGCCAGATCCCGTGCACTAGGTGTCAGCATTGCTCTGCACTGCTGCTTCCTGGGACACGGCAGGAATCATCCAGAGTTTCTGTGGCAGTCTCTTTATGGCTGGCTGACTCCAAAGCAAGATTATCATTCAGGCCAGAGGCAAAAGGAATTAAGTTACCTGGGACTTAGGCCAATACACTGATAAGCTAAGGAAGCACATGGTGGTAGTTCCTTATCAAGTTGGTTTCAGCTTTAAGCCTAACAGGACTTTAACTAAATTCCACCTGACTTGTTGGCAGTGTGCAAATGTATCATGGAATTATTAAGGTTGGAATTGAGCTCAAGACCAACCATTAACTCAGCACTGACAAGCCCAACACTAAACCATGTCCCCAACTGTCACATCTACACATCTTTTAAAGCCCTTCAGTGGTGGAGACTCCACCATGTCCCTGGGCAGGCTGTTCCAATACTTGACTCAGTGAAGAAGTCTGGGTCTGTGTCTTTCTATGACATTTTGCTACTTTAACATTATTTTTTACCTTGTTGGGAAAAGCTCCCATTGAACTCACTGCGGCCCTCCAAAACTTGCTTTGTGCAAGGCATGGCGAGGCCCTGGCACAGATTTGGCAGAGAAGCTGTCCCATCCCTGAGAATGTTCAAGGCTAGGTTGGATGGGGCTTGGAGCCAGCTGGTTTAGAAAAAGACATTCCTGCCTGTAGCAGGAAGCTGGAACAAGATGATGTTCAAGGTTTCTTCCAACCCAAACCATTTTATGATTTTGTGATTCAGTCTCACAGTGTATAAATCACGGTTATAAAGTACGGTTTCACGGAATGAAAAATTTGTGGTTTACAAGATTAGAGATATAAAAATCCAGACAGTAGTTTCTTGCTTTCATAGCCTGAGATTTCAAAATTAGATTTAATCTTCAAGGGATGAAAATTTTAGTGAATCAATAAATCTTGGAAATGGTATATTTTTGCACTCCTTTCATTCACATGAATATCATGTTAAGTATCTTCCATATAATGTGGAGCTGTTTAGCTATTACTGACTGTTTTGACTGTTTACTTGTTAGTACCACTGACAAATAAAGTTGAAGCTGCAGAACTTCATCTTTGCAGTTTTTGTTAACAGTCGAACCAAGCTTAACTTTCCCTGGCTGCAGAAGCTGTCATGCCTGGCTAAGTGCGAATCCCTGGCCTTCTGCAGAGCCAATGTCTGCTACTGTGTCTTTCCTCCTGTTTGTTATTTAGAACTCAGCACTTCAAATCTTTGATAAAACCCAGTCCTTTTATCCTTTCCCTTCCAACTGCAGCTCTCAGAAGAGGAGAAGATCCAGCGTTACAGCATCCTGTCAGAGCTGTACGAGCGCATCGGTTTCCACCGCAAATCGGCGTTTTTCAAGCGCATTGCGGCCATGCAGTGCGCGGCGCCCAGCATCCCCGAGCCCGGCTGGAGAGCCTGCTACAAACTGCTGCTGGAGACCCTTCCTGGCTACAGCCTCTCCCTGGACCCTCAGGACTTCAGCAAAGGTCAGTGTGCATCACCACTCAGCTGGCTTTCCATAATAATTTCCTTGAGAGATTTCATACTGGACCTAAACTGTTTGTTAATCTGAAACTATGGCAGCAGATAGAGCAGTTGTTTAACACTGTGCCTTCGCTTTTTCTTAGTGTTGTTCCAGTAATTTCAAATTTCTGCAAGCCACTGCTAAACATGTTGCTGTGGTTCCCTGTTTGCAGGAAATAATTATGTGTTATTTATGAAAACTTAGTTTCTTATGTTTTTCAGAAATGTCTTTGTTCTGATAATATGCTTCTCAGTACACAAAAAGGTAATATATATTATTCTGGATTATTTTTTCAATTAAAGTACCTTCAGCTGTTCCATCAGAAGTTGTATTCCTTTTTGTTTTGTGGCTGTTTGATCCTATAAGGAAAGAGTATAATCCTTTAACATATTTTTGCATATAGATACATATAATGTAATTAATAGGATCAAATATGTCACATTTTCCCACAAATGAGATCAGAGACAGCTAAATTGCTGCTTGGAAGCTCCTTTTGAGTAAACCTTTCCAAAACCTTGCATTGTGTTACAGAGCAGCAGTTTTGGGGGCCATTCCCTAAATGTTGTAGCTGCAGGAGAGGAGCAGGAATTGATGGGCTGAGCTGTATTTGTGGATGGTTAGTGTTGGGTTTTTAAAAAACTGTTGTGATTTGGCAGTCAAATTGTATGTGTGAGGAGGTAGCAAATGCCAAGTGGACTGGGTCGAAAGATGCTAAGAGTCTAGAAAGAGGAAATGTGCTGGGAAAAATATGCTGTGGCCTGGGATGAGACTGTGTTGGTAGAAGTTGTTGTAGAAGTTCTGTAAAAAATTATAATTAAAAAAGCAAAGAAGTTATGTGATTGGTGTTTAATTTTTACCTTACCTTCATGTTTCACTGAAGAGCGTTGTCTCGTTTTTTATCCCCGAAATGGCTCTTTTAGAGACATATGGAAAGATCACTGCAAACTCTAAGATAGAAATGACATTTCACACATGAAAAATAATGAGACTCTCAAAATATAAACTCTCAAGGTTTGGTTGCAGTAAATATTCCTAAAACAGTTTGCCAAATGCTGATGGGTGATATTACAAGGAAGGCTGTTGAAGTTTATGAAGTATTGAACATCTCGAAATATCTGTTATTTAAAAATTATTGCTGTTGCTTACTACTAAAAGCAGGTTAAGCTTCATGAAGAGTGCTGCCTGTTATGGTTCTGAAAGGAAGGTTATGTTAAGATCATCTATTTATTCTGCCCATAGATACTCTACAAATATGAAGTAATTCATAGACTGAAACTTAAAGACTGAAAATCAGGATCTGTGCCTTGTGTTCTAAAGTTTTATTGCTTTTATTGGATGGGGAAGCATTTAGAAAAAAAATCTCTTACTTGATCTTTAAAGAGAGTTAAGAATTACTGGGCAGTTTTTTTTTTTCTTTACAAGGGCATGGAGTGACAATACAAGGAGAAATGGCTTCAAACTGAAAGAGTAGGTTTAAATATGTGGATATTATGAAGAAATTCTTTACTGTGAGGGTGGTGAGGCCCTGGCACAGGTTGCTCAGAGAAGCTGTGGCTGCCCCATCCCTGGAAGTGTCCAATGCCAGGTTGGATGGGGCTTTAAGCCACCTGGTCTAGGGGAAGGTGTCCCTGCCTGTGGCAGGGAGTTGGAAATAGATGATCTTTAAGGTCCTTTCCAATCCAAACCATTCTGTGATTCTCTGATTTCAATTTCTGTATGAAATCTCATGTGCATTGTCCAGAGAATTAAAAAAATATAAAACTTTAAATGTTTTGTGTATTATTTTGGTTTTTGGGAAATGTTAACTTTGTCTTCAGAATTTTAATTGTACATTTATTTGTCGACAGACACGCATATAAAACAAAACTTGATTTCATGTTTAGGTATTCAAGCAAATACAACAATCCTATTTTTTGTGTTGAGTACAAGCGTTGGATTTTGTAACAACCATTGGGTGATTGGTGTAAGTGCCATAAAATTCCTCCTTAGCATAGGAAGAAAACCAAAACCAATGTGTTTGTGATGATTTCCACCTTTACAATACATTAAATATAATGATTATATATTACCTGCATTTTCCCCAGGAACTCACAGGGGATGGGCTGCAGTGCAGATGCGTCTGCTCCATGAGCTGGTCTATGCTTCCAGGAGGATGGGCAATCCTGCCCTGTGTGTCAGGCATCTCTCCTTCCTGCTCCAGACCATGCTGGATTTCCTTTCTGACCAAGGTAGGACTATTAAAAAAAGCAGATATTTGCACTTTCTTCTGACCCACAGTCAAATAAATAAAATTCAGCAATATATTTTAACAGGATTTAGCCTGTCAGAGGTTAACAATGCAATGAGTGTGTCTATGGATGATTTTCAGCAATGGGAATGATGTGTGTGAGGACCCTTCTGTGGGGTAGGACCATGTAACATTTACAGAATCACCTGAAAAAGCCAAAAGTGACAACTGTTATTTTGTGTTATGTTTCTTAAGAAAAATATTCCATAGTGACTTGTTTATCACCCAGCTTAATGAGACCAATGATCTTAATGAGTGCTAAAAGATTTTAAAATTTAGTTTTGCTTCTCAGTAAGCCAGGTAAAAAATGCATTTTTTTCCAGTTATTCCTTTGTTTTCAATAATGAGGATGGAAGTGAAAAAGTATAGGTTGGCTTTTTTTAAATTTTTTTTTAAATTTTATTTTTTTTTTTTTTCTTCTTTAGTTATGGCCAAATGTCTCCCCTTAGTGACTTCTGCAGCAAAGAACTTTGTTGGCAAACTTTAGGTATTTGCCTGCTTTATTCCCTCTGTTTAGTGGCTCAAATCAGTGCTGGAGGAAGGAGAGGAGTTGATAAACTGGAATAAATTTTCTTTCTGCCTGTAGATCTTATTTGCTGTCAAAAGGTCCTTGGGTTTTCCAGGACTTACAGTGAAGCTTTGTTGATATATGTATGGAAAGTTGTGCTGAAGACAAGGTTTTAAACTCCTCCACTCTGCATTTCCGCATGTGATGTTGTTAATCCCTAATCCTAAAAGGTTTGGATTCTTAAAGACAAGAAACTTGTGTGTTCTTTGCCTTCAGACATTTTATGTCTGAGTAAACCTTCCAGCTTCATAAGGCCTGGGATAACTGTGATGTTTAGTGCCTTTAAAAAAATCAAACGAAATATTCTCCTATGTGTTTGAAAAACAGTTGAATATTTTTCTTTCCTTCTCTCCTAAAACCATCCAAAATAGAACTTGCTGTTGAGTTTGGTGTCTTTTATTGATAAGAAACGCCAGGAGTGTATTTCTGGCCTGTATTTTTTTTGGTAACCCAGCTGAGATTGGTATTGTGTGACCACAGAATCGTTAAGGTTGCAAAAAGCCTCCAAGATCATCAAGTCCAACCTGATTTTGTTCAAGAGTCCATTTAGCATAGAAAATTACTTAAAATGTATAGGTCTTCTAAAAATATTGGGATATTAAGGAAAAATAAACCAACAAACCTTCTTCAATGTAGAGCTGTAGTAAAGGACAGAAGCAAGAGAATTGAAGGCAGAGGATGAGGTTACAGTTTTAATTACTGTGAGCTGTTCCCTTATAAACTGGTAAAAAGGTATCATTAGTGTTCCTCTCTGATGCCACATGACTGAAATTTCCAGGTTTTGTCAATCAATTGAAGGTTTAATTAGAAAACAGAATTAATGCAGTGGTGTTGGAGTTCAAGAGTGCTCAGAATTTACTATTTTTCTATGCTGCATAGACAGTCACCAATTCCTAAGAGTGGAAGAAAACTCACTCTTGTGAAAAGTCAGTTTTGACTTGAATGTGTTCTTTCCTAAATAAACTTCATATTTTTAAAGCTTGTTACTGACTATCTGCTAAATCCTGTTCTTGTAGGAAGCTTTAAAGTTTGGGTAGTTTGCAGATAATTTTTAAAATTAGAATAAATAGAAAACTCTTAAGCTGAGAGGAAGTTACCAGCTAAACATTTGGCTCTGGAACTTGACCTTCTAACCCTTTTTCTCTCAGGATTAGCTGCCTCTAGACACAGAAAAGGAACATTTTCTCGTTTTTTAATTTAATTCTGTTCATTTACTAGTTCAGTTGAAGCTGAGATACTGATTTATTCTCCAATTAGAAGTTCAGCTGCTGAGATTTATTTGTTCCAATGAAATCTAGATTTATTAATTAGAAACTCTTGCTTCTATTAATGGAACACAAATGCATAGTCAAAACTGGTTTGTGTTTAAAACAAAATTTAATGTTTGAATTGAATCACACATTTTAAAATACAGCTTGTCTATGTTTACTTGAATTTACTTGAATCTCCAACCATGCAGACTGGCAAATCTAAATAAAGAGTATCATCAAGTAAATGGGAGATGTCAGTCACTATTTTAACGACGTGGAAGCTAAAAGTTTGATTTAAAATTAAGCTGTTCAGTTGCATAAATATGTAAAATGCAGTCTACTGCTAAGCAAAAAGAGGTACTAAATTCTGTGTAAAACCTCTAATCTCAAGCTATTATGTTTTAATGGTAACAAGCCCTTAAGAATCACTTTCTTTAAATAAGAATTAAAATATGCAGTTGCAAAGTTGCTTGGAATTGAACCTATCTTTTGCCTAATGCTTTTTGAAACAAAACTGCTTGTACAGCTCAGTGAATTTCAATTCAGCAATGTCAGATATTTGGAAAAAATGCCATTATTTTACTGTGGCTCTTCACTGGTAATATTCATATTTCTTTAAAGGGCTGTGACTTGCATTGAGTGCAAATAATTCTGAGTTGGTTCATCTGTTAGGGCCTCTCTAAACACAGAACTCTTTGGAAACAGCTCCTAAGGAAATGTGACTGTCCACTCACCAGGCAGTCCTGTGGTGAACGAGTAGAGTTGGGAATGTTTCTCCATTGCCTCTTGGAAGATTTGAGGTTTGAAAGTGAAAGCTTTGAACTGCTTTCTTTTAGAAAATGAGGCACCTCTTTGAAGACCACTGAAAGACCTTGATGTTGATCAGTTAGGGAAGGGAGCAATGAACTTTGGGAACATCAGGTGGGCTTGGCCTGGGTACTGAGGAACAGCCAATGGATTTTAGGGGAGCAGAGATAAAGGTCACCAGTGATTTTGTGTTACTGGGAGGTGGATGTGAGGTTGCCACTCACAAAATCCTCTCTAAGCAAGTGCCCAACCGGCCAAAAATCTGTGAGGTCTACAAAGTGTTGGAAGCTTTGCTGTCCTGGCTGCTCCACCCCACTGGTGCTGCTGCTCTGGCTCTGCTCCCTGGCTGGGCAGCTCTGGGAGGGATCCCAGGGAACACTCCTTGGCACCCAGGGAGATCTCCCATAGCACTGTGAGCAGTGCTGGAGCCTTGGTGGGGGTAACCCTCTCCTGTGCTTCTCGTCATCATTGCTGGCATTCTCCTGCTTCCTATTTTCTCCTTCTTTCCTCCTCTACAAAGAAATGAAGTTGAGTTATCACTTTGGATCCCAACATTTAACCTCATTTGTGTTTTAATCTTCTTTTTGGGTATGTTCAGAACGTAATTCCTTCCTGCATTGTGGATCAAGACAAAACTTGTTTCTCTTGAGCAGATCAGAACAGTCCCTCACCCCTGTAAGTTCATGTTCTTTCAGACATTCAGCAGGTTTCCAGGATTTCAGGATTCATGCTGTTTGCTTCTGGTGGCAGGGATCTTGATGTGCTGAGGTGAGGTTTTCTCACCCACCATAGTGTAGGAAAATCTCTGCCAAGATCTTCCTGTCCTATGGTTATTGTTGCTGCACTTGAATTCTTTCCAGCCTCCTGGTGAGGTGACTGCCTTCACATCTGAGCTCTCCACTGCTCTGTCATGTGCTTAATGAATTAAACTACTGACTCTATGATGATTCTGCATGAAACATGCAGAAGTAATTTTTCATCTGTTGACCAGGGCTTTGGATGTCTTTGTTCTTGAGCTGACAGTAGGTGATGGAGAGAACTTCCCAGAATATCCTGCTGTGTCTGTCCTTCCTCTGAGTGGTTGTTTCTTAAATCGTCAGATACTGCTAAAGATGTTTATTCTCAGTCTGTACTGAGATCATTGTAACTAGTGAAGAATTTCTGCCAAAATTTCTGCTGAATGCTGTTTCAGTTCCCATTATCCTGTAGATGAGTTGGGTTGGACTTGTCAGTGTTTCCTGGGCAGCCCACCTTGCTTGCCTTGACAGCTTGGACTTGTTGGTAGCTGAGGGACTTCACACCATTAATCTGAGAGCACTTTTGGAACCTTTTCCTTTCAAGCCTGCTGTGCTCAGGTGAGATGTCAGCTGGCAGGGTGAGGTTGTGCCTTCTGCAAAGAAGTGATGAGCTTGATCTAAGAAAGAAACCCGAAACCTTGTTTATCTTCAGAAATTATGGTTAAGCCTGGACTAAGTATAATTTGGTGATGTCAGACGTGGTGTCTTACAACTCTTAAAATATGTCTTTCTATCTTGCATTTTGAAAGAGGAAATTATGCAGTATTTTAGACATTTTTATTTATAGAACAGATTGCATATGCATTCCCTCAGTGTCATTTAAATTTCAAATTGGTATGTGGAAGTATGGAAAATAAGGAAGAATATTAAACCGGGCTCCTGAAAATTGACAGCTAGGCCACAAATGAATGTGGAAATTACTTTAACCCTTTGTAGCCCTCCTGCCAAGCAGCAATAAGGACCAGACTTGGTTTCTAAGGGTCTTTACTTAAAAATGTAATGTTGTCCTGAATTTCCATCCAAACCTGGGAAAATGAAGTGAAGCTGCAGAGGCACTTGGTGGGTTATACCTCCCCACCAAGATTTAGAGATTGGGCTAAATGAATTTCACTGGGGCAGGGGATAAGAATAACCTGTGAGCCTATAAAGAACTTTTGGGCATGGAATAATTTAAAATGGCATATTTTTTTGAGGGACTGCTGGAGCAGCTTGTGACTCTGTTCACCTCACTGCCTCCTGTTCTCTTGTTCAAATCTTGCTGTGACTTTCTGATTTCCCCAAGTTTTCAGAGCTGTAGCCAAAGTTGTTGAGAGTTTCAGCACATTTCAGTTTGAGCTGATTGCTCACCATTTCTCCCCTCTGTTTGCCATTTCTCCTGCCTATTTTCATAATGCTGCTCTTCTTTTTTTTTCTCCTGTTTTCATATTTAGGTTAGAGGAAACAAGATTATAAATATTACAAATAAAGACATAAGCCCAGAAAAGATTTTGAGGTGTAACTTGCTCAACTCATGAAAAAC